TTTTTGTTTTTTTTTTTAAAGAAATTCTCTTTAAGTGGCCTCAGATGAAAGCAGCAATCCTGCAGAACTTAGTATCATACAAACAAGATGGAACGAAACATTTCACTCCTGTAGTTTTTAGCCTATACAGGAAATAGAAACAAAAAAATGAGAGTAGAGATTCATGCACATTCACCTGGTCTTTGCAGCAAAATCCAGAAATTCTATCTAAGTGCACTACCCAGAATTTTGGTAACTATAAGTAAAAYGCTTTCAAAAGGGAAAAAGAAACAATTTTAAAGTATTTGAGGAGATATATTTATTGGCTGGTGATAAGAGGGAAAGAGAGAAAACAGACAACCTTTTAGCCAAGAGGTTAGACCAAGAGATCGCCTTGTAACAGAGCAGTGAGACAGCACCTGCAAATAGATTGTAAAACATGTCACTGTCGAGTTTCACAGATRCTGGGTTTGAATTTTCAGTTGCTTTCCCTTCTACTGAACCACGCAAATGGGGAGAAAAATTGTCATTCACTCTCTCATTCACTGTACAGGGAAATATCGATCAGCTGACCTCAGGGGGAAAGGCCTAGAGAAAAATGGAAAGGAACACCTTTGTGAACTATCACTCAACCATCATCACCTGCAACATTGATGGAAAGCACATCCTTACTTGAGAAGGGGTTGYCAATGTTTGCTGGCTCAAAGATGAAGCCACAGTAAGCACAGCAACAGAGATTTTCATGCAAGGGTTTAGCAATGGTCTTGTTAATAAGCAACTTCCAAGGCAGCATGGGCTCCTGTAGGATGGTCTGAAGCACCTGAAAATAGTTCTCATTTATCAGTGTCTTACCTGTGATGTTGCTACTTTCCAGCCTCTGCCTTGTGATGAAGGGTCCTTTCTTCTATTTGTTCTTCCAGCTCAGCTTACTCTGTTTTGGGAAAGAAGGTGTGCTGGGTTTGAGGAGATTTGTGTTTTTTCTCATGTTTTCTGGTGGGCAGTAGCTTTCCTGGCATGTGCAATGCTATTGATTAGCTCAGTGATATTTCACATACTGTCCAGGATAGATCACTTTGGAGTTCTGAGTTAGTGTCCTGTCACCTGGATTTTATTCTCTTTTGTTTTTCAAATACAAGAGATTTTTCTGAAATAAGAAACCTGTAATCTGGTATATTATCATTAGATCAATGTCCTAGCCCTGCTATTCCTTGTTTTAAAACACAGGCAAACAGGAATCATCAGTTCGTGGATACCAAATAAGTAAATGATGTCCTGGTCATTTCAAAAGAAGAGCCTGATCCTGCAAAATTTTCTGGTTTGAGGGAAMTTGTGCTTGATACAGCATGTAAAACTCCAGTTGAAGAAGTGCTTCTCATTTCTCTCCAGACTGAGCCTGGAATTCATCTCCCCTGATCTGAACTAAGAGTCAGATGCTGAGGTKTTTAGATGTCTTCAAACAAGTCATCAGCATTTTTCCCATCACCATTTTTCCCATGGTGTTATGGATACTCTCTGCCTTGGGCAGTCATCTTCAAAGAGAAAATACTGCCCACTTCCTTCCGTGGTCTACAGAAAAAATCTAAATTACTGGTCTGGACTGTGCTTGCAGAACTGAACTTTGAAACAGTTGATAATTTCCCCCTAGATGAAGCACACGGAGATTTCTTCAACTGATGGGGTAAATTTTTAAAATCACTGATTTGTATTAATTGCTGCTCTGAAAAAAAAAAAAAAAAAGGTTTTACCCTAGTTTTATATTGAAATTTATTTATGTTTATTTTACCTGTTAGGCCTCTACAGTTCTTTAGCCTGTCAAGGGCTGAAATTATTCACTCACCTTGCCACCAGCCCTGCACTTCCAACTCCAATTAATAAATTCTCTCTAGACCTTTCTTTCAATGCTTAATACCATCTTCCCTTCCCTTCCCTCCCATTAAAAATGAGATCACTGGCGAATAACTTAAAATATCTGGAGTGTTTCTTTAAATASATTACATTTAATATAAATTTAAACTGAAAATCAAAGCAGATCCCTCAAAACACAAAAGCCAGGGCTATTCTGACTGTTCATTGCTKTTATTTAAAAGGAGATGATCAACACAAAAATTTGGAACAAGCCATATAAGATGCCAGAACCAGTCTTGTACAAAGGCAAAACCCTACAGCTGAAATTACTTTTCGAATATTAACAGGTATCCCCAAAAAGTAAATGATATACACTTTACAAAGGCATCATTTTATTCTTTGTAGATACAAATACTCTTTTAAAATGAACAGATCAGAYAAGTTACATTCCACATAAGTGATTCATGTACCAAATACACAATAAAATGAGAAAAACCAAACTTCATTCCATGAATGAAACATCTGGGCCCTGAATATCTGTAAACAGTTTCAAACTAAAGCTGAAATTTGAAGACATTGTCCAAAGCTGCTGGAGTGTAAATCAAAATTACAAAGAGTTCTGCAGCTCATTGCATGTTTGTTAAGCATTTCTAGTCTCATACAAAATTGAAAACTTTCAGAAGAATTGAAGTGAAACTACAACATTTCTAACAAGTTTATAATCCATTTTCCAGGRAGATTAAGCCAGTACTTAACCTACTCAATGAGCTCACATATATAAGCTGATTGGTGAATGTATTACACATACCCTCTACCTCTCTCTCCCAACTGTATATGTATATGCACAGCAAGTACAAAGATTGAGCCAYCAAAATACTTATTTTAGTGAAAAATTCTTGATATGAAAGATTTTATTTCACACTACATTGAAAGCAAAAATGTTTATTGTGGCTTAAACTGTTCAATTTTGTTTGRTTGGTTTTGTTTAGAAGCTGAAGGGTCACTTTCAAAGCAAACAATTAGAATCAAGAATTCATTCAGAATCCAGAACTCTCATTCAGAATTAATGAGAAAATAAATCAATATTTTTACTTATTTCCAAGTGTATCAAGAGATAAAGGAAACTTGTTCATTTTCTCATACACTTTAGCATATACAAAAATAAAGTGCACAACTCTAGGYGAAAAAAATAGACCTAGCTAAAAATGTTTTGAGGACACTTAGGTGACAAGAGGTCTGCTGAGATGGCTATTTCAAKATATATTTTCTGCTGCAAATGTGAGTTCCACCTAAATATATATTGCTTCTGTAATATAAACAGACACATCCATAATATGAGCACATTTAAATGGACAAAATGGGCCTAGAATTATGGATACATATTTGCAGATTGAGAGTATCTGTAGCAAATTCAGTTGATGTGGGTTCAATTTACTGTATTTGAGAGCAAATTAGTTGTTACTGACCTGCTCACTGAATATTTGATTGACCTGTTAGAAATTACATTAAAACATTATGGATCATAAAGACATTTTCTTAATAGAGGCTTCAATTCACAGTGCATGTGGGAATTTTTTTTTAAATCAGATTTTAAATTTACCTCTTGTGAGATAAATCCTGTTCCATCTAGAAACTCATATCTCTGCTGTTAGTTGAAGCTGACAGAATGAGGTTCTGTACAGAAACTCACAATGGAATTTGATGTGYTGTGCTTTATCAGGGATTGCCATGCTATCAGAATGATAGCAACAGGATCTTATTTTGAATGAGTTTTTCACAAAATTTATGAATTCATTGTTTATACCTAGACATGGCTCACACGGGTATTTCTGCTTAGTGAGGAAAGTGTTAAAGTTCATCACTAACACAATGCTTTTAAAGATTTACAGTACCATATTTTAACATCTTGGACACTTAAGAAGCTGCTTCAAAGTAAGCATAAAAACCAGCAGAATTCATCTCGGTGCTTACTAGAAAATTACATCTGTGAAACATGAGATTCAACACTTTGAATAGCTGCTCATGACAGAGGTCACTGCATGTTTTGTAAGGTTTTAAAACCCAGTCAAGGTGGAGTTTATTAAATTAACAGCTCACAAGAAAGATGTTAAGGCAGAGACTTCTCAACCCATACAATCAAGGGAGAAAAGAAGTAGTCACCATGTCTTCACCTGCTTCAAGCAGGACAGATTTCTCATTCACAGAAAATGTGGACGGCAATCACAGTTTCACAATTTCCTGCTGCCTTTCATTATGTATGGTTTCTCAATGAAAAGGAAAAGCAAGAATTAAGAAGAATGTTTATTAAAAGGTTCCAGAACTCCTAAAAATCCCATTTCAGTTATAAAAGTACAGATCTAGTGAGAAAATTCAAGTTACAATTAATTTATCTGTTCTGATTATGTAGTACATGCATGCACAACTTTTCACAGAAGTAGTAGCTTGGATATTAAAAACATGTCTGGACATTAGTACTTCCAGTTCCTGAAAAGGCTTGAAAAGGAGAGAAAATTATCAGTGTGTAATGATTTTAAATCTTAGGCAGATAAGATTATGAAACAAAACACATATCGTCRAAGATTTTTCTAGAATTCTATCAATTTCTTTAGTAAATTCCAGTAAATGTAAATAAAGAGCTTTCTGCAAGKGTGTATTATCTAATGGAGCACATCTTTATACAGCCTAATAATGTCTTCTTGTATTTGAACATTATATCAGTATTGGAACATTTTTTGGAAATTTTTCTGGAAAATTTCAGAAAATAACAAGAACTGGACTCTGATTGTAACATTCCTTTAATTTCAATGTATATACTTGCAGCTTTTAGGATTTTCTTCTAATATAGATGAGCCTCAAACATTTAAAAAAAAAAAAACCTACAAAATGTCCTAACTATAGAAAAATATCAGTGATAAAACATCATTAGAAGCATTTAACATCAGAGCAATAAATTCTTGGCTTCATAACCTTAGCTCAATTATGTCAAACAAAACATTTTGTTAGATGGCAGTGATAAGGTCTGTGTGTCTTGGCAGGAAAATAAAAAACTACCTTTGCAAACCACAGAAACAAGTTTTCTCATTCTGTTCCTTTGCTCCCACATGTTCATGGGTTTAGAATAAATAAGTCATAAATAACAATAAGTCAAAGCAAAATAAAATTATACATGTGTTGTTATCTTACTGTATGCCTATCATCTTGGTTAGGGTTCAGAGCTTTTTGGCTCCCATTTATACAAAGCTCTCTTCCATATTTGTGCACAGCAGAAAAGAATCCACAAGTCTGGGCTTTACCAGCTGCTGAAAATCTGAATCTTCCAGTCCATCAGGGCTCATAATTGCTAGCCTTCGCAAGGCTGCCTAGAAAAACAGAAGAGCATCATTGCAGTGCAGTCAGGTTTGGCAAAGCCTTCATTGCAGGAATCCATTACCAATACATCTAAATAACAGCCAGATCTCAAAATTGAGCTGTGCAGGCAATCTCTCATTGCTATCTTCATCTGTCAGATGAATCTTCCCTCAGGCAAAGTTATTAAATGATGGTCACTTTGGGGCATACTACTGTTAGACCTGAGCAGCAGGTTAAATGCAAGACAAGCCCTCAAACACCAGTGACAACAMCTTCTAGAGCTTAAAGTAGCTTATGTCTCAAGGACAATATTTTTTGCCACATTTTTAACACAACACTTCTTCGGGCAGTTACTAATATATCAGGAGAAGGAGAATTGCTGAGACAGGGAGGTAGATAATGTCTCAAGCAATAGGCATGAATTCAAGGAATTTAATTCATATTGAATAGCAGCAACAACTTCAGTGAGACAGAAAAATCATAGTTTGGTTTGCTGCCACCACTCTGTGGTCTCTGCTCTAACCATACCAGATTAACAAGTCCTCTTGGCATGTAGGAAGAACAATCACAGCATTTTCTATGCTCACATTTATATTTTCTTCATCCTAAATGAGACCTGCTTAAACAAATGAGCTCCAATAACCGAGCTTTAACTTACATCTAAAATAACATTAATATCATAAAGCATTGYCGAACAGTAGTCTTCAGTCTTCACTAATCAGAGCCTATGTCCTAAGCCTGGATCACCCATGTCCCCAGGGCCCTTTGACAGAATGCTCAGTGAAATCATTCAGCTCTGGCACTTGGCTCACAGTCCATGCAGTGCAGGGCCAGCAGCTGGGCTCTTTCTCCTGAGCAGAGAAAGTGCTGACCTCCTGTTGCCCACTCCTTGGCCGGGCATTATATTGTCTTGGAAGCACAAATAGAACAAAAAATTGCATTGGAGTGAAAGCAAGAAATACCTTTTCTCCTTTTTGGATGCTTTACATAAATATTTTCATACATATGTGTGAGTGCAGGTAAAGGACTGCTACCCCCATGGTTCAAGGCTAATTTTGACAAACATAGAACCACCACAGAATGGAATTTAGGAATTAATGAATCTTTAAACTCCAAAGTGTTTCAGCTATTTTTCTTTTTGTGCCAAATAATGTGAAGATGAAGCCATTTTTCCTTATGTGCTTAAATCTTCAATCAGAARATGAATAATTGACAGTGTACAGGATTATGCTTAAGGGGAAAAGCAGGAGACCCTGACATGAATTTAAAATATTTCTGCAATASTTATGCATTTTGAAATCTGAAGGGATGTTTTTTCCCTAATTTTCTCATATGAGCATGAAAGAAGGACTAAAATGTACATACCAGACAAGCCACTAAAACAGAATCGCTGTTATTCCTTTCTGTTGGTGATCTACAAAGTTTAATCAGGCGAGGAATACCTGAGTGTACAAAAGAGTGTCAGRAGACATAATTCAGACAAATAACTTCTTATTTCTGAGATATTCTTTAGATGCATGATATTTATATTTTTTTGTAGATATGATCTTTAATGCAAAGATGACATGCAAATACTTAAGGGACTTTCCATGGAGCTATGCAGTTCAGAGCAGTCATAATTAATAGTTGTAAAGCATAAACAAATAAATTGGGTTTACTTGCTGTGGCTGTTTCAGAGGGGAAGTTATGACCTCCATTTCTTCCCTCTCAATCCTCCCATATACCCTTAAAAAACTCCAACTCAAAGAACATATTCCCTCTCATTGCATTAATCCCATCTGGACCTGCTGGGGACCCAGTTTTCTGTTCCCTGCCAGACCCTGCTCAAGGGTTTCCATAAAGGAAGGGAAAAGGCAGCATTGTCAGTTGGCACAGCAAGGGACAGCTCTGTGTTGAGTGGATGCTGCACCTCAGGCTCCTCTGGGAAATGAGCCAGAGGTTCATTTAGCTCCATCTCCTCAGTCATTCTCTGGGCACACTCCATGGGGAATGTCTTTCATAAAGTTTACCAAGTGAGGCTAAAAATTAAAAGGAGCTTCTCTGTGACTGGCAGTTGCTCCCCCTTTTCCAGGCTGCCATTAAGCAGTAGACACATCCTTACAGCTGAGTTTTACAGCAGCATCTGCCACCTCGGGATCTCGGCTGAGCCGTGCCAGTGTGACCGCAGATTTCTGCTGCACTCGCTCACAAGCTGCAATCTCTGCTGGATTTCCTGAGGATGATTTTTCAAAGAGCATTTCCATTAGAAGTTGAACACCTAAAAGAATGCAGGAAACATCATTATACTCTCTCCAACAAAACACTCAGTGCAAAAAAGGAAAGGGGAAGGGAAAGCTGGGTAAATTCAGACCAGCTACTGCCCAAACAAAGCACAGAGAATCCAAAAATGCAGGCTGCAATTTGGACATCAGCACTCAGGAACATCTGATCAGACAAACTGATAAGTTTGTCTTCACTAGGAARCAACAGAACTTCTGGAGCTAGAAATTGTGCTAACTCTTTTCTCCTCTAAAGGCTGGTATTTTGAATRTCATTATTTCAGCCAACTAAATGCAATTCCTTATTTGCATCTAAATTAACATGAAGGTAATCACTACATAAAAAAAATCTGCAGTGGCATATTTCAGGTCTCTAAAAGTTTCACTCCAAGACTTTTTTTTTCTTGTTTGCATATTTTTGAGCAAGTCTTCAAAAGTTTCCTTCTCCAACTGTTTAAGCATATTTTATAATGAGGAATCCTTTAATGGAGGAGATGATGAAATCCTGTTTCTTGAAGTTTACTCCGTGACTAACTCTTCACTCCAGAAGAGGCAATGTCACCCATGTCTAAATAGCTTCATTAACTTATTGTTGCCTATAAGAGTTGATATTCTTCTTGTACTACCACCAAAAAAAAAATTATTTCTCTTTTCTAGATTATTTTAAGTGTAAAGACAATTATGTGCTATTAGACTCCATATGCTGTTAGGCATTCAGATTAYTTCAGTTAGCATCAGAGGATTTTAACTGTTAGAACATTTGCATAAATAATTCACAGAATTATCATCAGAACCATGCAGCTAGATAATAATCAATCAACATACAAGAAAAAGTCAGGGTTGAGAAGAAAGTACCTAACTTCTCCAGCATTCAAAGACCATTTTCAGAATGTAGCCTCTGACTAGCATCCACTTCATATAATGCTAGGCAGGCAGACACAAAAAAGTTTTTACACACAGGATGTGTGTAAAAACTGTCAGAAGCCAGGGGGAAAATGCTTCTTGTGAGCTTCCATGATGGAATGAATACACAAACTGTACATGGGGCCATTGTCCCTGACCATCCACACGTATATCTCCACCCAGTGCAGTGTCTAGCAGGAGTTAGCTCTACTTGGCACAGCTAAGCAATACATGTGAATTTCCTCTGTAATTTAATCTTTGCCACCAAAAGGAAAAAAAAAAAAAAAAAAAAAAAAAAAAAAAGGCAGCTGTCTTACTATATTGCTTGGCCTTGGATTTGCTGGTGAGTGAGTGCATTGATAAGGCATTTACATCTTCCTCTTTCTATATGCTCAGAGTTATTAACTTCTTGGACTTCTTGTGTGCCAATAACACCAGAATTTCTTCAATATAGTAAATTTTGAATGATACAGTATTTCAAGAAGTGTGAGGAAAAAACATAGCAATTTCTGAACAGTAATGAATGCAGAATACTTCAAAATATGTAATACTTCTGAATACCTGTGAGAAAAGTGACACAAGTTGCAGGTGTGCATGGCTCAGCATCAGGCAATGTCTTTCAGCTTGTAATTTGTAATTGCCATTTTACACAAYGCAATCACCATAATAAAAGCCATTGAAATACTTTTTACTACCTTGCTTTGCATCCAGGAGTAAGTCACATGCATGGAATACYAACAATTGGTCACAAATGCAAACTTTCCTAAAACAGTGGTTTATTTCATTTATGTAGAACCAACCCCAGGAGTCRTTTTTCACCCTGCAGCAATGTGCAATATCCAACAGAGATAGGATACCAAATGAAGCTTTATTAGTGAAAACTTTCTCCTTTACCTCGGAAGTYCTACATTGCCATCTACTCAGACTCTACAGAAATAAATTTCAAAAAATATAATTCAGCTAAAACACATACCATTTCCTTGAACGATTTCTGAAGCACACTGGTCCAAYACAGACATGTTTGCCAATATTGTTACCACCTGTTGTTAAAAAGAGAAGGAAATATGAAGTCTAGCCCTACAATTCAGTAATATTAAATAGCATTGAGGTTTTATAAAATAAGAATGGAAAAAATATGCCAAACGTTTGAGAGTTCTGTTTTTATGCTGAATCAGTTCAGATGAAATGCTAAAAAATCCTCATAAGAGAGATTTGCAGTTATGAGCTTTGATTCACAGGAATATTTAAGGAATATTTCTCAGTTTTGTTGAAGCCAAGAATTGTGTGCATGTCAAGGCASCATCCCAAAAGGAACTGGATTTAAAAATCTGTTTGTACCTGTCCAGAGGTAAAGACCACGGTTAAGCTCTGCACCAAGTGAAGCACATTCTGAGATGCTGATTTACAGAATCCCCTATCTCAAATAGCTTTAACTGTTTTTGAGATTAGGTGTAATCTCTGACAGAGACTGGGCCCTGTGGTCCTGTTGGCTTTCAGTCAACCATTCCCTTCAATGGTATTACAAACTTTCTCATACATCCTGCAAGGTGTTTTTTAGTTTGTCCTTCAAAKAATTTACTTTTTGCATGCAGACATATCTCATTTTTAACAGCATATATGAGAAACAAAATAATAAATGTTAGAGATCACCAGAATACAAAACAGAAATAACGTTTTTTTTCTTAAGAGGTTTTAGATTTTCTCTAATCTAATTCAGAAAAATTAGCCTCAAAAATAATGGTCAGTTTTGGAACTGGTTTATCAGCTTTTTAACAGCACAGTGTCAGTTCAGAACCCAGCAAACTTCTTAAATGTAAGGAGGCATGAGATCAAATCACCATTCTGATCTCACTTTGCCATTTTAAAAACAAGGATGACTCATTTCCGATGCTGTGACATAAAGATTTTCCRCTCCTGAAGGTAGTGTGACAGTGTCATCTCTCTGAATAAATATACTTACTTAGCATGCAGATGAGTTGCTGAGGCTCTACAGAGTGACAGGTAGAAATATGGTAACTCAGAGTATGTCTATGTATTTATTCCATATTAATTATTAACTGTGTTGYAGGCAGAGTGTATATGTTTTCTCATTCTAAATTATATCCCGTTAATGAAAATTGCTTCCTCTGTGCAGAAGCTGTACCCCATGTGGCTCTCTAAGCCACAGATGMAGAATTCAATTAACCACAATTTAAATACATGCCAATTATTCCACTGCTTCAAGTTATTTTGTCTAATAAGTATTTTCATACATAAAAATAGTTTGCRTGCGTCTTTTGGCACCAAAAATTATTTGAGGTTATAGTTGTACTTCCCTTGTGCTGATCATGTGGGTCCCATATTTTGCAATGTTTCTGGACTTGCTTAGTGGGTTTACATGTAACTTCACCAGAGGGGTGTATAAGTATCATCAACATCCATCCTATCATGATCAAGAACCATCAAGTTCTACCTAATTTATCTTTTAAAATCTTAGTAGGACTCAAAAGGTATTTAGCCATAGATTAGCTCATYCCATAAGGATAGATTTTTCTTTTCCAAAGAAAACTCATTTTCCTGTAATGTAAACAATGTAACAAAATAGGATAATGTAAAATTATAATAGGCAAGAAGAATAAAGAGTTCACTTTAAATGCTCTATTTCTGCTACACTTTTCTAGTTTAATGTTTATGTTTTATGCAACTTAATTGAAAATTTMATCTATAATACAATCCAAATTTCAAGGAAGTTTCCTACTGAAGATGAACTCTCTAGAGGAAAACATAAACAAATGCAGACTCAATTTGCTTTAAAAAATAACACTTCTGTGAGCCCCGGTATTAATGAAGCCTCATCTCTTTTGGATTTAGAGTTGATCAAGAAACATAAACAGATGTTTTCCAGTAGCATCTTTCCCACTGTAGATTTTTATTTTTGTCTAATGACACATAGACTTACACTGCAGTCTTTATCTTAGCCTCTTTTCCCATTATCTGGCTACAAATTTTGCAAAGCCTTAGGCAGTCTCAAAAATAACTACAAAGCCTTGTTGAATCATCAGACTAGTTCAGATGTTATTGTGAGACATGGAGACATAAACAGACACTGACAAAAGTGGCTGCCTAAGCCTCGTTTCATTGTTGAAAATTACTGGAAAAATATAGATATCAAAACCTCTTTCAGAACTGAAATTGTTTTCAAATAATTGTAAGACTTGAAAATATTTAGCATGGAATCTCTACTGTTCAACTGCAAATTTTAGTAGCAATTTCATTCATTGCTCAAGTAATGATCCTGTAAAAGAACAYACTGCATGGTTACAAAGCACTGGCACCTGATACAATTTATTTTAAAATTTTACAATTTTATTATTGATTTTTGCAATTTTTCTGGATTTCTAAGCCCTGATTAGGTTCTTGTGGAACTAAGAACAAGTTCTTAGGAACCTGTGGTTCACTCAGAGTATAAGRAAGAAGTCATCCTGAAGACAGGACACATGAGCCCTGGTCATCTGCCAGTGCCATCCTGACATGGATGGTATGTGCTATGGCAGAAGGAATGTGCTAAAGCCGCCCATCAATTCCGGTGCCTTAGTGATATCTTGATCTGTGGGATTTGCAGATGTGCCATAAAGCATATTCTGACAGGGAATGCAGCATAATTCCCTACTCCAGCACCTGTATCCGCACTCAGCAGATCTGCTTTGGAGGCAGATCTTGATCCATGCATTTCCAATATCTGTGTTCCAGCAGTGGTCTCTAACCAGACTGTCCCAGGCTGGTACACACTCTGTCCTCTGCTATCCAAATTCATCAAGAATTGCAGGTGTCTCTCTAGAGCGGGAGCCTGATATATCTGTTGGCTGCAGTTTTCTCTGTGAACTGGCCACCCTAAATTCACTGTACTAAGGAAAACCACAGAAAAATAGACTTGATCAACAAATAATCACCATAGAATGGCTTGGGTTGGAAAGGACCTTAAAGATCAACTAATTCCAACCCCTGTCATAGGCATTGACACTTCCTAYCAGACCAGGTTGCTCAGACATCCATCCAGCCTGGCACTGGACACYTCCAGGGATAGGGCACCTACAACTCCTCTGGACAACCTGTTCCAGTGCCTCACCACCCTCACAGCAAAGGATTTCTCCATGCTATCTAACCTAAACTCACTCTCCTTCAGCTTGAAGCCATTTCTCCTTGTTCTGTCACTACATGCCTTGTAAAAAGTCCTTCCCCATCYCCTCTGTTGGCTCCGCTCAGCTCCTGGAAGGCCCATGACATTTGCTTGCCATCAGATGAAAGCTGGATGATTCAGGTCAGTGTCACAAGTTTCGCTACAGAAAAAAAACCAAAAAAAAAMCAGAGGAACAGGGCTCCAGGGCTTGTCCTGTGCTCAACACCTCCTGTTACYGTGTGCTCTGCTCTGCACACCCCAACCACAGAGCAGGGAGACACCGGAAAACACAAAATGTCAGGTAAGGGACCCTCAGACCAGCTCATGTCTAAGCACCTTTTGAAGGGGCTCCAACTTGTCAAAATAACAACAGAGATTTCAGATTTGTGCAGAGATTTCAGTGGGACTGGTAAGATTTTTCACAAGACTAAGAGACTAAGTAGTTAATTTTCAGAATTTAAAKAACCACACGAACAATCAAGCAGCCTTGAAGGTTCATCTTTAAATGGTTTGTTGGTGAACTGAGCATGCAGAGATATTTGAAGGAGAAGGACWCCTTTAAGTCCATGGAAAATTTTCCTATTTAATAAATAAACTTTTAAAAATGGCATTATTTCATATTTTGCAAGTGTCACTACAATGTCATATTCTTAGTCTTGCAGCTACCCCGGAAATCGATCTGAAATCTAATTAATAATCTGTATTTTTATATRATAAATAAGTAAACAGATATTAAACAAAGATACCTCTCTTTAGTGACAATATCATACATTATTATAAAATTGGCAGTGTTGATCTTTGTTAGTCATTCCATATATATGTATATTTCACAATTTAAAGTTTGTTTTTATTTCCACATAGTTTCCTTCCACTCCCTCRGACTTTCACTTATGGAATTTATGAGTGGTGAACCTTCCTTTTCAGTTCTGTAGTCTGCTTTACACTGAATTGTAAGAGTTTCAGTTATCAATAACAATTTACATTAAAGAAAACTTGGTTAATTAGAACCTTTAAAATAGTTTTGTTCAAACAGTAGTCACCTTGGAAATTGTTTTAACAAAAACTTGTAATTACTAACATTATAAAAATGCTTTTCTAAACAACTAATGATRACTAATGCCCATCAACCTGAGCACAAAGGTATTGAATGTTTGCTGCAAAAGTGAAAACCAGATACAAATGCTTTGCTATAAAATAAGATACTTACACTGAGAGTGTAAGTTTAGTTGCCAAAGAGATTTAAACCTAAAGAATACATAAGAATCAGAAGGCTTCTCTGATAACTTTCTCTTGGGGGGAGGTTTAAGATGATTTGAAAATATTTCCCATTGTTGTGAAACCAACTACTCAAGAAGAAAGATGCCATAGGATTTGGAGGATGAAAGCACAYATTTTAGCCTGTTAAAGGGACAATATCCTCCACAACTGAGGGACCCTTCCCTCATTTGTGGGAGAGGGAGGTGCCTACAGAGGTGGAAGCTGTGATGCTAATATACCTTTACTGATAATAAAGGCACACTGCTCAGTAGGCTTTTATCAACAGCCCTGACATAAAAAGAKGGACACAAGCTCAAAATAAGAATTAGCATGTAATTTAATAGAGTGGCAAAGTAGATCAATACAGAATTGCTAATTCTCTTAGTTAATTACTCCTTTAAGGCTGATTCATCGCTAAGTAATATTAATTTTTGTACCTATTATAAGAGCATTTTGTAATTCAGTCAAATAAATGACATAAGGATAAATCATAGTGTGTCTGCAAATTCCAGATACCCATCTTCAAAAACACTGAAACCTACTCAGAATAAGATGGAGTTTCTGATTCTGAATGTAAATTAAAATCACAATTCAAGACCCATCCACAGAGACAGCAAAGGAGTACATATAGCAGGGATCGGGAACAGACATCACAGCAAGTTGGGATAGAAAAAGCCTTTCAAGATATTATATATTAGGAGAAAAAACTTCAGTGAGAAATCTCTAGAAATTTTCTCTGGGACATTATATTGCTTAAAAAAAGAGAATAATTCCAATTGCTTCTGGTAGCCATTTTTGTGATTGGCAATTTAGTTTTTTTTCTCCTGAAAACAGAAAATATATATATACCTAGAAGAACTGAAGAAGCAAAGATCATCAGAAAATAATAATAGGGGTTGGAGAGAGGATCTGCTTGCAAAGTCTAGCTTTATTCTGAGGCCTTGACAGGGAAGTGTATACTTGGCATGCTGAGGCAGAGCAACAGAGACTGAGGCTGTATGAAACACACATTTTTAGAATGAAGGAACTCTTTACTACATTTTTATTTACTTTACTTCCTGTTGCTGACTAATCTAGATAAGSAACAGGCAGAATAGCCAGATTCTCACATTATTTGTTTTAAAGAAGCACACAGAATACGCATCCTGTATGGGTCCTACGGTGAAAAAAGGCATCCCATAAACCAGGGCATATAACTGAACTAGTGATTGAGCTACTCTGTCTCCTCACTCACATTTGTGGCCACAGTCTCCCATCTTTCAGGTTAAATAATAAGCTTCCAGAACTGCCATCTCGCAGGCTTCCTTCATGGAGTTGAAAAGCTTATCATATTTTGAAACAGACTCAACCAGCCAAAGACACCTAAGATATCTGATCTCCCTAGAGCAGAGCACAAATTAGGCTTCCAATACAAGTTAGTTCTTCAGCTGTGCTGAGATTTTAATCTTCCAACATAACCTCTTGCTTTGCAAGCTGGACCATATTGTCTTATCTTGCATCGAATCTAAACATGAAAGGCAGAATTGTAACTAAACGGTCATTTTGTCTCAAAAATTTTGGTATTTAAGCCAAAGAGTCTGATAATAACAATCCATTGCCAGTCAGTACTGTTATTTATTTATGTTAGTCACACATGCATGAAAAGACAGAGATAACCAGTTAAAAAGAAAAAAAGACATCAGGAAAATTATTACTACAGTCTTACATAGGAAACTTATTAGAATATCAATAATAAAATGCTGTGGTTAAAATTCAAAATAGGTAATTTTGGGCCTAATTTTCATTTTTGCATGTTACTGGCAGTCATATTTCTTTCTTGATTTCTTAAGCTAATTTAAATAACTTAATTCTTTATCAGTTCTCTTTCTAGCTATATATCTTGGGTTGATTTTGTGCCAATCCTGTATTCCTATATTCCGTCAGCTCGTTGCCCAAAAGGTGTCTGCGCCTTTAAATGCAACCTGGAAGAAGGAACAGGGGCTGTGCAGGCAGTTTAAAAGTGAGGCTGCCATGCAGCTGTTYGCTTTTTGGACCTCAGCTCGCTGCGTATGGTGGAGTTACATTGTCGTCGTTTAGCTAGCTCGGGTTTGTTAACTTGGGCAAACAGCTTTTCTGGGACCGCCACCCCTTTTCTCCAACTCATGTGATTTTGCTTCTGGAACAATTCAGCGGCCAGCGGGCACAAGCGGTGCAGCTCCRTCTCATCCTGAACTCCRGAAGAAGCCAAGCCAGAGATAGAAAAACACACTGAGCCCTCTGTTTCRTCCACAGTGCGAAGAGGATACCATCAGGTTTTCCACTGTTGCCCAAGTGCCACGTGAATTTTTTTTTTTTTTTTGCTTCTTTTTCCATTGGAAGGGAGCCGCCATCTTTTTCTCTGCACCACGTGGTCGCGCGGCTGTGGGGGAGGTGGCAGCATGTGTTCCTGAGTTTTAAATATCTAACCCTTTTTAATATCTAACCTTTTTATCTGGGCACTGTGTTTTGTTAATAAACTACTTTTTTTCTCTTCACTTTCGCCCAAATATCTATTTCATATTGGTGGGAAAAAAATTATCAAATTTTTCACTTCAGAAGAAACATTTACTCTAACATTTTTTTCTCTGAAAACATTGTCTCAAATCAAGACTGTCTCAAACACTATATTAGTTGAAATCATGTTTTCTCAGTGTGATCTTGTCAGTACCGGAAAGGATCCCAGAATTTTAGTGTAGAGTTAACCAACTGCAAGGAACAGTCAGACCTTTCAGCCRGAAGGCAATTCTAACCCCATATTGAATGATCATGGGGCTAGTGATCATGTCAGAGCTGGATGTTAATAGGGACCTCTGGAAGAAAACAATGCARATACCTTTTCATGACCCTGTCCACATGTAAATGGTTTGTTAATATATGCCCCAGCATTCAAGAACCTCAAATTGAGAAGTAATATTACAAGGTCCTTTCAAACAGACAGGGATTTTTAAAAAAAATCTAAAATAACTCTTAAYAATCTTCTCATTAAAAGCATCATTCTCAAAGTCTTTCACTAGGGATTCAGTGATACTAAAAAATTAAAACTGCTTTATATTAAAGTAATATCTGTCTCTAATTTCCTTTTGACATTGCAATCTCCTTTTAAGGGGGAAAAAAGTGAGGAAAGACAGTAAGAACAAACACAAATGCCTGATAAGGAAGAAAAGGTGAAGAGCAGAGAACGTGAAACCTAGAGGAAGAATGGTGTTAAGGATTTAAAATCTCAAATGGGACAGAAGATCTCCATGTCAAAACCAGTAACATCTCCCAAATGCCAAGAAAACAGGAAAGAATCTATCAGAAAATAAAGCAGCTTTGCTTCCAGCTTTAAAACTTTTCTTCATCTCAAGCTGTTTTGAAACATAATTCACTGATTTTACAATTAGGAATAACCACTTTAAAATGGATGTGTTCAGTGCACATTAATTCTTTGTCTGCCTGAATAAGAGAAGATCAGAAGGTGTTAGGCTATACCTCCACAACTTCACAGGTAAGGTGAGAATACTAACAGCACTGAAGAGACAAGTGGGAATGCAGAGAGAAAAATTGTTATACATAAACATACTGCACACAAACATACATATTTCATATTTTTTTATGTGGAGTCTAAGATGATGGTTAAAGTCAAGAAGACCCTGAATGATAAGGGATTTGGAACCTTCAGGCCTCATACACGGCACTCTGCTGAAGTAAAATTAATCACTGAGAGGCCAAATAAGCAGTGTCTCTGCAGCACCCTAATGCATGGTAGTGCCTGAGAGGAGCAGAAGAAATTCCTTCTGATTTCACCTATGCATTAGCATAGAACTTTAATATTCGGTGTCCCTTTACCAAAAAAAAAAAAAAAAAAAAAAAAAAAAAAAAAAAAAAAAAAAAAAAAAAAAAAAAAAACCCAAACAAAAAAAAAAACACTGGTGAGAAAGAAAAGGCAAAGTAAAGTACATTAGCACTATTTGCCAATAAAAACCTGCAAACCATCTACCAGGCAGTTAGGAATTGGTCCAAAGCCCACCGACGTCAATGGGCTGGGGATCAGATCCTTATTCAGCTTTTGGAGCTAATTCATCTTTGAACTGACAACTGTAGATTTAGGCTCCATATATACCTTTGAGTCAAAGCTCCATCCAGTCAAATTTTGAATCCCTCCAAAACCAGAGATTCCACAACCCATCTCAGTCTTTGTGTCACTGGCTGTCTTCATGATGAAAAAAAGATATGAATTCTACRATCTTAGAAATATGGAATGTGCTGCTTTGKTTTTTTTTGTTTGTTTGTTTATTTGTTTTTTAATCACATTAAAGCTGTCATATTTTATAATGTTCATTAAATTAAATCACAACAAACCAAAATCAAGGAAGGAACTGAAGCCTATAAGGAGGCATATATTGAAAAGAACCAAGAATGGGATACATGAAAGAAACATAGKTCAGGCTTTGTCAAAACAGACACAGGGCTGAAATCTGTTGGCTTTTACACAAATGTGACAGTGGCTTGCTGAGAAGTTCCTCACCTGATCCCGGGAATATGGAGTATCCACTATGCCTTTATCTGAACATGCTGCTAGGAGGATCTTCGTTGCGTTTAACTGGAGCAGTATTTCACAAGCCATGGTATCAAAGAAAGTAATATTGGCAAGGGCTGCTGAAGCCAGCAGGAAAACTTCACCTGATGAAGCTTCTTGGCACAATTCTAGGAATGCAGAAAATAGCTGAATAAAAGTCTGTCCTTCATTGCAGCATTTGAAGGCAATATTTGAGCCTCTGCGACTTGCAATTGTGATCTTATTGGCTAGTATCAAGTTCATAAATATCAAGATAAAAAAAGAAAACAAAAAAAAAAAATTGTCAATTATGTAACATCATAGAATGGATTAGAGTGGAAAAGACTTCTAAGATCATGGGCTGCAACCAAACCCATCACTGCCAAGTTCCCCACTAAACTGTGTCCCCAAGTGCCACATCTGCACAGCTTTTAAATACCTCCAGGGATGGCGACTCAACCACTTCCCTGGGCAGCATTTCCAGCACTTAACAACTCTTTCCATGAAGCAGTTTTTCCTAACATTCAATCTAAAATTCCCCTGGCACAACTTGAGGCCGTTTACTCTTGCTCTATCACCTGTTACATGGAGGAAGGGACCAGCACCCACCTCACTACATGTTCTAATGAATGATATAGTCAGCCTAGTATACCATTCTACTGGGAATATCTCTCTGCATGTTGTTCAGAATAAAGTTGGATATAACTAAATCAAATTAAATACAGGAGGCAGAAAGGTAACAGTAAATGATCCATAAGAGAATAAATCTGTTAGGTATCCTCCTCTTCAGAACAAGGTACACAAACATGTTGCCTGTTTCTAAACCTATTTCTCTGTAGTCAAAAAATCCTGCATATTTTTCTACTTCAATAGGAAGTGCTAAGAGATAGCTACCTTTTAATATCTTGCACACATGTACTTTAACCAAGATGTGAATCACCTGGTAATGGGATTTCTGCATGGTTTAAAAATTAAACATTTTACAGTAATTCAATTACTTAGTTATAAATATTACAAGAAAACTGGCGTGTGATTACTGAAATGGCTCTTGCAAAGTTATACATATTCTATTTTTAATGCTTACATTTCTTGGGCAGAATATATACCACTAATATTCCTGTAGAACTTAAACTGCAACAATCAAGGAAATGATCCATCAGCTAATACCTTCTGGATAGGCTGTTCAGATTGGCCCCTGACTGTGGTACACTATAATAACCCAGAAAATCATCTGAAAGAAATCATCTCAGCTAAAACAGAAATAAGTTCAGTACAGATTAATTCTACCCACTAGATCCAGGGCAGTGTCAGGGCACAAGCTTCTCCATTTGTTATTTTGGACATCAGGAATAAATTGTTCCCTTGATTTCTACATCGTTAGCTCTGTTTGGGCCTATTGAAGGATGCCTAAATCCATCTCGGATAATTCCCACCCAATGCAGAATTCTCAAGCACTGGTACTACTCTTTTTTCTCTTCTCTTAAAAAAAAACCCAAGTACAAGAACATGCAGTCAAATTGAAGTGCTGCAGTTAACTGCAACAACTGGGCTCACCAGAAAAAATATCCAAATGTACTGATCTATTATACATGAGTAATCAAACTAGAAAACCCAAACAGTACATTCTGATGTGCAGCTCTGGGAACTGAATTTCCAGACTAGAGAGAAGAGAATGCTTGAATGAAAATTTCTGGTAATTGAGAGGGAGGGAGCATGATGCCAGAAATAAGATATCCCTCTCTTTAGGAAGCAATGAGAAATGCCTTGTTTTTCTGAACTATCCTCACTGACCCAGGTTGAGGAAAATCTTGCTGTCACCTTTGTCTCATTTTACCATGGATCACAGGCCTAGATAAGAAATCTTAGATCTTTATTTTCTTGYAACAATACCCATAGATTTTACAACACTCCACTTTTCCTGTGAGTTATTATACAAATGCAGATGTAGTGGTGAGCTTGCAGTCATAAATGTTAGCAACTCTTAGAACTCTAAACTCTAACTCTAAAAGTTAGCAACTCTAAGAAACTTCTCTTTTACAGAAAAAGRTCCAACAGGAGCATGCTTTGTTGAGTCTTTCCTGACGTTCTTAAGGTAGATTTTCTCACTGATATTATTATTAAAAATATGCATAAATTCTATTCAAATGTTGACTGGAATAAAAAATACTATATAATTGTAGAATGCTTTGGTTCAGAATTTAAAATTGTTATTTTARTTGTTAGGGGAAGTATGGTAAACACTATTTAGGGAATATTTTTAACAAATGAGCCCTACTCCAACATTTTATTTTAACTGGACTCAGAAGTCCTGTAGAAAACTTACTAACAAGTGCTGTCAGAATTTCTTCCATATTTTCCAGAAAGCTGCTGAGATGCTGAGTGAATGTGAGGTGTGGAGAAGTGATCTGGGCAATTACTGCTGCTGCTTCTGCATGAGTAGCTTCAGAATGGCTGTTATCAGTGAGGATGTCAGCCAGGCACAATATCCCATCAACCTAGGGAAAAACAATAGGTAGGAATTAGAAATACTGGAGTACTAAACTACTTTTGCAACCAGAGATGGTTTTCCAGGTCTCTTTTCTTGTCAGTGACCAAACTACTCAACTTATTTTCCAAAATAATTTAAACTTGYTGACATTTTATGATGCTGGAAATTTTGGTTTAGCGAATGCAAATGAGTTCAGTATACAAGTTTTTTGACCTGCCAGAAGTCTTGCAGTTCCTTATCCCTTAATATTTCTGTGAAATCAATTTAGGTCAAACAGTCTTTTCTGACATCTAAAATTGATAATGAATCTAAAAATAAGCTCTGAMAAGCAAATGCTAATTGCTACTATGCCACAGCCTAATTTTAGCTCTGATACAAGACTCAAACTTGAGTGTGCACTAGGCTCTAAACTGATATTTTTTTTTGCTGACATATTTTCTCTGAGATTGTCACAAAGCCAAGACAGGATCAAAAAGAACACTGCTGAGACTACCCAGGCCAAACTGTTCCTGATGAACCTGAACAGCATTTACATTAAAGCCAGGTGCACATATCCCTTGCTTAATTCAAAGAGAAACAGAAAACGAGGAATGAGATAGGTTTATGCTTTTAGAGGGTTTGAAGTGTTCCTACAGAGTTCAGGCACACAGATCACATACACACATATTGGTTTCGGTTATAGGAGACCCACTGCCACAATGAAAGACAGCAAGAGTGCACATGCRCTGGGATCATTGTTAGCAACCAAATGCTGCAGGGAAATGCTCTCTGTGCACAGGAGCATAATCTGTGAACTTTCAAATTAACAGCAATATGTTTCTCCCTATTTAACATTGCCCTGAATAATTTATCATGTTGACAAGCAAGTAGTTAGAACACAGAATCACTTAGSTTGTAAAACCCCTCCAAGATCACCGAGTCCAGGCTATGACCGAACGTCACCTTGTCAACCAGATCATGGCACTGACTGCCATGTCCAGTCATCTCTTGAACACCTCTAGGGTTGGTCCCACCTCCCTGGGCAGTGCTTTCTAACAGCTGACAATCCTTTTCATGAAGAAATTCTTCCTGATGCCCAACCTGAACCATCCCTGGTGCAGCTTGAGGSCATTTCCTCTTGTCCTGTCACTGGCTGCCTTGGAGAAGAGGCCAACCTTGCTATACCCTCCTTTCAGGGAGATGTAGAGAGYAATAAGGTCTCCCCTGAGCCTCCTTTTCTGCAGGCTGAACACCCCCAGCTCTGGACACTTTATAGACACAAAGAGGAATTATGAAGGTTTAGCACTGAAATATACTTCAACACTCAAAAAAAAACAGAGCTCATATTTGTGTTGTACACCCACTAAGACTTTCTTTGCTTTCCTGTTCAGACAGCCTTCTCTGTCAACTCATAGCTTCCTCAGAACACTCATGTTAAGTCCTAACCATTACCTTCAGGAAGTGTATTTAGCAAATCTCTCATTCTCATTTTTGTTATTTATTAATACAGAATGTTGAGTTATCTTAATTACTTATCCTGCAAAGGGCATGAATTAAATTATTTGATAAGCACTGACAGTTACTGTATTTTACAAGAAAAGTTCTCAGAGGGGAGCAAAAATTATCCTCTGTAAGATTATTCACTGGGAGGCAGTTTTTAATAGGGAATAGACTATATAATTGAAACTCTAATAACAATAAATATAAAAGAAATTATATCTTTATTTTACCTCAGATCACTAATGGTATTTATTGTGGATGCTCTAGTACTGGCAAAAAGAGAAATAATAAATTTTAAACATTAAACTTTTTCTTGACAAGCTTTCAACATTAATCTACCCACAGCAAAATATTTCCTCCTAGTTATGGCAGAATTCTTCAGCTTGAAACAGCAGATTCACATAATTCACTGGGCTTCAAGGTATATTAATAGATCTCAGTGTCAGGAATTAATGTATGTCCTCACAAGATGATTTAGTACCCAAAGTGTGCTAGACAATATCATATGCAAAACCCCACCATTTTGTCACCTTGAAATCTCCCCAGATCACACCTTGTCTGGGATCCAAAGGATGTTAATAACAACAGGCAGTATAAAAAGTTAAACATATTCCAAGACATTCAAAAGATACTTCACAAGAAGCTGCTTCTAAATCCTCTGCGGACTTCAGCTCTAAATTTACTGGTTAGAATTCACTTGGCCAACTCATATTCAATGACCTTGACAAAATGATTTAAGAGTACTTTAATGTTGTTTGAGAACAGGTAATGGCTTATGTAAGGCAGGTACAAGTTCCTGGTTAGATTTTTCCATCACTACTGATTGTTTAAATCTACACTAATAATTCAAGCTCCTAACAATACAGGGCTGTACAAAAATTTTAAATCACATGGTTTATTTCTTTATTTGCTAAGTAATCATTTTTGGAAATTGTGAGCTGCTGAATTGTGGAAAAAGAAAAAGCAGATATTATTTTATTTAACACTAAGATAAATTACGTATTTTGGGCCTATGAAAGTCAGCATTAATTATTGTCCTTCCTATTCAGAAACATGTAAAATACTTACAAATTCAGCCTAAAATTTGTTCCATACCCTTTTTCCCCCATCTTAAATATAGAAAATAAAATAATTCTACTTCAGCAGGCAACCCCATTTATAAGTGTCCAGCAATAAATTTTAAAGTGACAGGGGAACAATCTAATAAAAGCACTTTAACATCCAAAAAGAAATTGCTGCTCAAAGCATTTTTATAATTAGGTTTCACACTGAAAGGAACTTTGGATGGCTGCCCTGTTTTCTGTTTAATTTTGGTGAAGTAATCAGCTAAATGTCAAATCTGTTCATCACCTTGGCAATACAAAAGAACCAGTTAGYCAGATAATGCAAACAAATGAATTCCATGAATGCAACAAGATGTTGTGCAGCCCCTGCATTTGAGGAATGGTGCTCAGTAAACGCTTGATCACTAATATTTCAGTATTGATAACTGGAAAAATGCCAGGAACTTACATCCTTATGACCATAGCCCTGTTGTAGAAACTTAATCCAAGTGACAAAATAAATGTGTGACCACGTTAATGCATAGATCAAGTCTTCTGAAAGGAATGAATGAGTTCTGGGGCAACAGTCTTCTTTCTTCAGTATACCTGTCCTTACTCCTAAAAATATTAAATAAAACTAGGCATCTGTTAAAGATATCAATACAGAACTTGGGATGAATTGTATTAATAACATCACAATTTGAAATATTACACACAACAGCAGAATTAACTCTACACTTTCCACAAGGAAGTTTAAGGCAGGCTTTCCATGCTACTCTGGGAACCAAGACACATTGCCTTCCTTTTAGTAATGTCTATGTTCATTTGTTAAAATGCTGAAGACCTTTTCTCATAGGATGACTTTCTCTTCCATTCCTGTTTGCGCACTTAACATTCAGATGATCTCTACATACCAGTAAACTTCCTCAAAATTTTTTTTGTCTACTCTGAATTGACCTCTGGAGTCATTTGGTGAGACTGGAAATACTTACAGACTATCAATTGATTTCCCGCTGTCAAATACACACTATCAGCCCAAATCTGGGTGACAAAGCAGTTTTAATGGAAGGACAGAAGGGAGATGTCACAATCCAGATACAAGACAATAAATGTGGAAACAATATCACAAAGGGGATCAACCCTTGAACCATCTCAAACTTAACAGGGGAGAATTTCATAAGCAGAGGCTGGGTCCAACAGACAAGAACTGATAGATCAGAGATGTGTGTGTTTTATCCTTTCACACATGCTGTGTAATAGCACCTCCTACCTGAAGCTAGGACAGGTTAACTATAGGTGAAGACATGAACATTAGCAGGGCAAACCAAATAAAGATAGGTAGATAAAAACCCAAACACATAAAAATTTACAGAATGAGGTAGAGGGTGACAGAGGAAGAAGGCAGGGAGGGAAGATTATCATATTCAGCAAAACSCATATACTGTTATTTTGAAAACTTGCTAGCAATTGAATTTCTGATCATCAAGGCTGAGACATATCCTATGTAAAGCTCTGTAACTTATTCTGCCTCTTAGAAGACCTACAAGTATTGTTTAATTTTTACAGTTAAAGAAAGGAATGGAAAAGGACAAAAGTATTCTACCTTGCACATAATGATCTTTTATGTTTGAACAGTTGCACTGCAAGTGCTCTGCAGATAAAAGCTGCCTTAGCTCCACTGGCTAAGAACTGTGCTGATTTGTACCAGATGAACACTTGGTCAAACATTTGGAAAATGAGATGCTGCAGTAACAAACTGGCGCCATTTAAAACATCCCCAAATAAAATTACAAGTATTCCAAACTACTACAGCTATTCCATGGCAGAGCAGTGACCCGTGAAGAAAACTGCAATGATTTTTATTACTAATGCTGTGCAACAGTGGCCATGGTACCTAATTTATAAGCCCTGTTTTGCACACCATAGACTAATGAGGGTCTGAATAAAGGCTGAACAGTTCCCAACTCAGTAGCTTTAAAACTTATGTCAATAACTTTAGCGTTGTGTCTTAACAGGCTGTGAGCTGCACTTYGGTTCGCAACAAACCCRAYGACAGTTTCCCTTTCAAACGCCCCTCCTTCAGATGGGGTCAGGCTGATGAAGAAGTGTTTGTTCTTCCTGATGTTTATCCATCAAGGGGCAGTGTAAAGTTATCTGATTTATATAAGGGTTATTGTTATATGGCATAAGAAAAAAGACATTTGGCTGTGTTGTCTTAAAGGATGCATTAAATGTGGCAATGCCTGAGTAGCAAATTTACATCCATAGTGCAGGGAGAAATAAACTGCAGAACAAGAAGAAATAAGAAGTTCCTTACTCTGGGCTGACTAGGAGTCAAAAGATAAATCATGTGCAAATCTTTTCTCCCTTGGAAACCTAGAGGCAGCAGTCCTGCACCTCAGAATTCATGTTCCTCGACACTCAGAGATGCTCTGAGCTTGTTGCAGATAAAAAGTACAACAGCTTGCCAAAGAGATAATGGATA